ATGTGACCCCCCAAGAAAGCTTTGTTGAGGTCCTAACCCCAGTCCCTCGGATGTAGCCTGTTGGGAAACAGGATCATTGCAGAAGTAATCCCTGCAGGTGAGGTCACCCTGCAGCAGGGTGGCTGCTGTCATGAGACACATACACAGGGGAGACGGCCATGTGATGACGGGCAGAAGTGCTGCAGCTGCAAGGCAAGGAATGCCAAGGCTGCCTGCAACCACCAGCAGCTAGAACAAGGCAAGGATGGGTCCTCCCCTACAGGTTTCAGGGGGAGCGTGGCCTCTGTAACCCCCGCTGGTGATACTTGTTACAGCAGCCACAGGAAACTAACACAGTGGCTTACACCTTTCATCACAGGCCTGAGTACTATGGTCAACTCTCCAGCTTTGACCCCAACTAGCAACTCGTGCAGCATGAGACGGCCCTTCCTGCACACATTCTGCCTCACAAGTCACTGGCCCACCTTATTCTGGGACCAAGATGATGACAAACATACAAACTTAAAACAAAAAACAAATATTCAATCAGGGTTTTTGGATGGAAAAAGAATCTAGTTTTTTTCAACCTGATAGGGAAGAAATGTCACCCCCTTCACGACATTCCCTTGGCTAGGAGGCAGCAGGAAGTGAGACTTTGAGCTGCACCAAGATCTCTGTCTACAGCTGCTGAGAACGCAAGAACTCGCCTGCTGCCCGGCTGGGAGGCTGGCCTGGTGAGGGACAAGAGGAGCATTTCCCAGAGACTAAGCCGGAGCCACTACGCTCCTGCCCTCTCCCAGAAGGGGCCAGGTGGGGCCTTCTTTTCAGCCCCTTCCTCGGGTAAGCTTGGCCCAGGAAAGCTGCCTGCAGTAGGTGAGCCTGTTGCAGGGTGAGGGGCAGATTCCTGTGTGACTACCTGCCAGAGAGCATAAGTTGCCAGGTGAAAAATTGCTGGCGAAGAAGTCGTGCTGCTATGAACTAGCTTTATTTTGTATTTTGAGATTAGCCACGCCCCCTTTCTCAGGCTGATGCCCAGCCCATCTCAGCTAGAGAAATGCTGCCTTTCAGGAGCTAATATTCTGAAACATTCTGGTTTATGGTGCCCAATGCCAAATATGAGTTCAGAGATTCAAACACAACAGTTGGGCCTCATTTGCCATCAAGAGGCATCCATCCATCCACCATCCATCCATCCATCATCCATCCACCCATCATCCATCCATCCATCATCCATCCTTTCATCATCCATCCATCCATCCATCATCCATCCATCCATCATCCATCCATCCATCCAGAATTTGTTGAGTGTCAAGCCCTCTCCATTAGCTTGCTTGCCCAGAAGGAAGGAGCTGGCAGCAACAGTCGGCAGGGACTAGGATTATCATTGGCTTGAAAATAACTAGACAGTGACTTTGTGCTCCTGCCCCCCAGTTCCTGGCAAGAAACAGCAGCGACCACACCTGTTCTGGCTTGGGCAGAAGCGTGACGGGCACTCAGGTCAGGGGACAAATTCCCTCCAGGCGCTCCTGTTCCGTCCCAGTGTGAACTGCATGACCTCTGGGACTGCATTTGCTACTCTGCACACACAGGTATGCAACGGCCAATTCTTAGTCCTCTTCTTACCTGGCACCTTAATGGCATTTGACACAGTTGATCAACCCCACCTCCTTCAACTATTTTTCATTCTTGGCTCCTAGAACATATTTCTATCTTTTCCTACTACCTAGGTGGTTCCTCTGGCAACCTTTCTCCTCCTGCTTCCACCCCTGCCTCTGCAGTGCATCCTCCACAGCAGCCAGAGGGAGGACTCTCATGTCTGATCACGGGTCCATCCACGATTCTCCACTGGCTTCCCCTTCAGTCAGGTGGACAGAATCCTAGTGCTTTGTGTAATTTGGTCCCTTCCCTCCCTGCACGCTCTTCCCTTCGTGAACTCTAACCACACTGGCTCTTTCTCTGTGCCTCCAACAAACCCAGCTGATCCCCCTCGGCTTGACTCACTAGCCCCGCCTAGAATCATCTGCCAGACACTCTTGACACGGCACCCTTCACTCCATGCAGGTCTCTGCTCACAAATGTTACCACTCAGGCCTTCCCTGTCCCCCGTCCACAAAGCACTTCCCCCCTGCCCCCGGTGTCCTTTCCTGTCATGTCCATGACGGTCTTTCACCTTCCCTGCTCACTGCTGAATTCTTGTTGCCCAGAACAGTGCCTGGCACAGAGATGGCACTCAATAAACACTTGCTGAATGGAAAATAAATATAAATGCTTACTGGACTTTACAAAATCCCAACCTGCAGAGAAATCCGAATTATCGTGGTGGTATAGGAACACACAGGCGTGGGAGGGCCTGCGTGAGGACGTCACGTGGGTGCCGTGCACATTTGTCAGGCTCTGCAGCACAGTACAAAGCACAAAAGAGGAAAAAACACCGACCATATCATTGCTACTTTCCAATTTAGTGCAAGAACTAGGAGTGCACACTTTCCCAGACTCCCCAATCTGTTTGTCCTGCTAAATTACCATCTGACCCCGCACACCCTTGCTTAAAACTCCTCAGCGACTCACCCTGCCCCGAGGATAAGGCCCGCAATCCTCGCGGAGGTCACACACAACACCCTGATCTCACCTATTCCCCGTACCATCTTCATCTCTTGCCTCTTCACACACTGGGTGCCACATTCCGCACAAGTGGAAATGCTGGCTCTTCTCTCAAGACAGTTTCTTTTGCTTCTGAGTTTTGGTTCATTCCATTTCCTCACCTATAACACTTCCTATCCCCTCCTGCATCAGGAACTTCTGCATCACAAACCTCCCCAATGTCCTTCAGTGGGCCCTTCACATGTCTCAGGTTCCTGCAGGAGGAGAAGGCAGCCCAGTGTGCAAGTACTTTCAACTCTTGGCCCGTGTCGCGCTTGCTAACAGTCACTGATGAAAGAAAGACAGGGCTAAGTCCAGACTGAAGGGGTGGAAAAACGAATTCCACGTGATGGGAGCAGTGGTAAAATCCCAATAAATTAGGGCAAACACGTGAGGATGGGGAATTACTGTAGTTCTTTCCCCCTCTTTGTTAGCTCCTACACACCTTCTGCTCTCAATCTAGACAGATTCTCCTAATCCCTAGCGTGAGTGAGCAACCTCTCCCACAAGACCTCACCTGCATCACTGTTATTGCCTGTATTACTCTCCATGCCAATGAGTGAATGAATACAGTGACATGGTACATGCTGGACCTCCCATGCATAGCTGGTGGGCTGTGCTCTCCACTTTATGGCAGCGTGGTATCAGCCTTCCCTAGTGACACGAAGGTCTCTGAAAGGAGCAGGGAGTTCTGGTTTCTGTTTTGTTTTCAATGCCTAGTATAGTACCTGGTTTTTATTTTATTTTATTCTATTTTATTTATTTATTTTTTTAAAAAATATATTTTATTGATTTTCTACAGAGAGGAAGGGAGAGAGATAGACAGTTAGAAACATCGATGAGAGAGGAACATCCATCAGCTGCCTCCTGCACATCTCCTACTGGGGATGTGCCTGCAACCCAGGTACATGCCCTTGACCGGAATCGAACCTGGGACCTTTCAGTCCGCAAGCCGACGCTCTATCCACTGAGCCAAACCGGTTTCGGCAGTACCTGGTTTTTATTTCTTAAAAATACCTGTGAAATAAACACTTAACTATAATAAAAGTAAAATGGGGTAAGTTCCATTTTAAAAAAGACAAGAATATTCTTGAGATTCCTGCAAGACCCAGCAGGCTGCAAATAGTTAGCAAGATCTGAGATAGTATAAAATTAACTAAAATAACAATGAAACACCAGAGGGAAGAAAAGAAGAGAAAAACAGCCAGAGAAAGCAGCACTTCCTTTTTATTAGACTCACAATGCCGTTCTGAAGCCCAACCTCTCTCTGTAAAATGCGTCTTTCTTATTAACGTCCCATTGGAAAGCAGACAGACTTAGTCTGCACTGTATCTCTGTGGTGCACCATCAACCAGTCCAGCATCTCACAGAAGAGCTCTGTGGAGGCTGGCGGTGATCAACCGGCCTCCCTCCTTCACACACACACACACACACACACACACATACTCTTTTATTTTTTTACAAAAATAATATAACAGGTTTACACAGATCTATTAAGTCTTTAAAGTTTCACAGCAAGGCCTATGCTTCATTATAAGCATTTTTTACTTTGGATTAAAGTGGGAACTCTAGGCCTAAAATAGATTTAAAATTACTGAACAAAGGCCCTATAGCAACACAGACATAATAAGTATTGATCATCAGACAACTAGAAGTATTCTGTGGTTGTCCTTATGCTAGTCCTACTCCATATCCCCATCAATTATTTTCATTTTAACTAAAATACAAAAGTAAAATAGTTCACTGAAATAATCTTCTATTCATTACAATAGCATATACACCAAATTATACTAACTGCATGATAATCTCTATGTACCAAGACTGTATTTTTGTTAGACTTCATTAGAGATGGTATCCAACTATCAACCACACAAAAGGAATGCATACTGAACTACAAGGGAAGGAGAGAACAATAATTTTCAGGCTATCTTTTTACATGGCACCCAAAACAAAACAAGTAAGAGAAGCCTTACAAGATACTAGTAGGTATCAAACTAATTTGCAGTGACATTTAATATAGTCTTATCAGAAGGAATACATTTAGGTCATATATGGAAAAACACATATCTATGTGAAACTCTAGGATTTCTCCTAGAATATTAAAAATGCTCATCGAAAGTTAATTAGCATAATAAAAATGGTGACCAGGTCATTGAATAAACAGAATGCCATTTAATATATTAAGAACACAGATTCTGGGAATAGATTCTACCTCCCAAACACCCAGAAATCTGAGTTAACAGATTCTCTACTTTGCATACTTGATACTAATAAAAATAAGAAGTGTTTGCACAGACTATAAATGCAAGGCAACAGCCTAAGGGACAGTCACAGAAAGAATAAATGAACACAATCTTGAACACAACAGAGTGAGTAGCTCCTGCATTTTTTGGTCCCCAACCCCACCCCAAGGGCCATCTCTTTGGGGAAGAAATCTTTCAATAGTTCAAGCCCATGACCTCGGACCCCACAAGCTACTACCCTTCCCAAGCTTGGCACCAGAAAGTCTTTCAGATGCCAGTACGACGCTTGATCATTCAACTGGACAGGCCCTCTTCATGCCTCCCAGGTTCCGACCAGCACAACCTCCTTCCCACAGAAGGGGTCAGCACTGCCTTTGAAGTCACAATGGGGTGGCCCAGGAAGAAGTAGAAGAAGGAGGTATCTGATGAAAAAGCACCTGCCAGTCGGAAATCCTCTTTGGTGAGAACACTGTACATGCGCTGAGGCAGAGCTCGGGAGTAGGGGGCGGGGCGGGGCACGGTGGTGCGCAGAATGAGTTCCCGGCCAGCAGGGGGTGGGAAGTCTGACACCGAGTTCTGCCTTCTCTCCTCTGCAGAGCCCATTCTCTTCAGTTCCTCCTCAGGTGGAGCCATGGCTGCAGCCTTGAATAGAATCAAATGCTAAATTCAAGATCAAGTTGGTGCTAAACTTACATCACTAGGAAGGACAGATGAATAAACATGATAAATACAGAAAAATGTTCTACATTATTCAGTAATGTTGTCAATTATGTTATGACTACTCGAGAACACAACACAGAAAATACAAGAGGTTTGAAACACGACACGAGCAGTCAGAGATCACAAATAAATTGGGGAGAGAGACAGAAGGGATAATGACTACCGGGCAATCTGCTTCGAAAAGTGGGGGCCGTATTCACACATCTGAGGAAGAGGGAAAATGTGCTGGTTTCTGTGTTTCTTCTAGCAAAGACCCAAGAGAGTCTGATGTCCTCAGTCAAGCAATGGAGTTGGTTCTCACAGAGGCTAGAAAGGTGTTTTTTATGCTGGGTTCTAATTCTTTTTAAGGTTCACTGGTCGAATTAAAACTGGGGATAGTGGTATTGTTAGCTGGGCAGCTAATGTGAGGTAGTAGTGAGGTCTATGTAATGTAGCAATGGCAACGAAAAGAAGTTCTCAATATCAAAGGCATCTATTTTCTCATTAAAATTGCATAAAATACATATTCAATTAGTCTTCATTTTAACTCTGATCACTATAGTTGTTTCATTTCTCTGATCACTGTATTTCTTTCAGAATACCCCTGATTTGGAAAAAAAAATTTTTGGCAATGGAAATATGAAACTATGTTATACAAGAATCATCAAGAAAGGTATGTCAAATCCAAACTGTTAAAGTGGTCATTAGTCTTAATGATCTCACGAAGTTAGAGGGAGGGGAAGGAACAAGAAACTATGAGGGACAAGGCTGTTTGTTACCTCATCAGAAGATTCAGTCAGCTTGAGAAAGGGTGAGAAAAGAAACAGTGATGAAAGGGAAACAAAAACAAGCAAGATGGTTTTAAAAAGAGACAAGGAATTTCAAGATTATTTCAGACAGCATGCACTATATTAAGGAACATGATTCTATCAAAAGAATTATGAAGACAAACATACAACACACCTAGTTATCAAACTGAGCAGACATACCCACTACTCATGCATCTGATGACTCAACAGGTGATATACAGAATGTCATTTAATGGGAAAATGATTTAACAAAAATCTACCACTTTCAAAAAAGTAAGTTTTTATTGATTTTTTTTTAAGAGAGAGAGGAAGGGAGAGGGATAGAGAGATGGAAACATCAATGAGCGAAATATCATCTATCGGCTGCCTCCTGCACACCCCCTACTGGGTGAGGATCAAGCCCATAACCTGAGCCTGTGCCCTGACCAGGAATCGAACCAGTGACCTCTTCATTCATTGGTCCATGCTCAACCACTGAGCCATACTGGCCAGGAAAAGAATCTATGAGTTTTACTGAAAAATTAAGATCCTAAAAAAATGTGTTCATGTTTTGAAAAATAGATAATCCAATAGATTTAAGGAAAGGTCTCAGAGTTATTCAATTTAGCAAGAATGAAGCAAAATCAAATCAGTGGTTTATTTGCTGAATCCATTTACGTATATACCACTGAAACATATAATCATGAAGTTAATTAAAATGTATGATTTTTTTTTTCCTCTAGCCGGTTTGGCTCAGTGGATAGAGTGTTGGCCTGTGGACTCAAGGGTCCTGAGTTTGATTCCAATCAAGGGCATGTACCTCGGTTGCAGGCTCCTCCCCAGCTCAGGCCCTGGTCAGGGCTTGTGCAGGGGGCAACCAATCGATGTGCTTCTCTCACATTGATATTTCTCTCTGTCTTTCCCTCTCTTCCACTTTCCCTAAAAAAAAAAAAAAAAGAAAAAAAAAACATGGAAAAATATCCTCAGGTGAGGATTAACAAAAACAACAACAACAACAAAAATGTATTTTTTTTTTTTGGTTAATTCTCACCAATGGATATTTTTTCCATTGATTTTTAGAGAGAGTGGAAGTGGGGGGAGGGGAGGAGAGAGAGAAAAGCATCGATGTGAGGGAGACACACTGATTGGTTGCCTCCTGCACCTGCCTGGACAGGGGCCAGGGAGTGAACCTGAAACCCAGGTACATGCCCTCAATCAGGAATCGAATCCACGACCCCTTGGTGCTCAGGCAAACACTCTAACTGCTGGGCTAGACTGGCCAGGGCTAAAATGTATGAATATATAAAATTACTGTGTGCCTATATTAGTAAACTGATATACAATGTCAGTTATGAAAAAAAAAGTTACATGAATAAACTTGAATGGTTTTCATTAGCCAGGCATTTAAGGACTGAGTTTAGAAATGTACCAACCAAGTGCTTGTTTTATGGATTAGTCTGCCAATTCCCTGAAACATTCACCACAAGGTATGGAAGTTTGAAATCTTTTACAATTACATAATGTGGGATGAATGAACAATTTCAGATTGGCTATATGATGAGGCCCTGAAAAGATGATACACTCTTATAGTTATTGATGTAAAAACATAATTATATTGTGTAGACAACAAGAATAATAAATTATATAATACTAGAGGCCCAGTGCATGAATTCGTGCACAGGTGGGGTCTGGCTGGCTGGGAAGAGGGGATGTGGGAGGTTGGTCAGCTGGCCCCGCCCCCTGGTTGAACTCCTAGTCGAAGGGAAAATTTGCATATTAGCCTTTATTATATAGGACTAGAGGCCCGGTGCACGAATTCATGTCTGGGTGGGGTCCCTCAGCCTGGCTGATGATTGAGGCCTATGGGGGGGCCGGCTAGCTGGAGGGGCTGCGGGAGGTTGGCCGGCTGGCCGGGGCCATGAAAGGTTTGCCAGCCAGGTGGAGGGGCTGCGGGAGGTTGGTTGTGGGAGCGCACTGACCACCAGGGGCAGCTTCTGTGTTGAGCGTCTGCCTCCTTGTGGTCAGTGCACCTCACAGCGACTGGTCCAATAGCTGTTCTGTCCTAATGGTCATTTAGGCTTTTATATAGATAGATAATCCTATTTTTGTAAAATATACATATATTTGCATACACTACTTGTTAAATGCTGGCAGTGATCATCAGTGGGGAGTGAGATTAATGTGATTAATGATTCCTTTAGAATTTTCTGTGTTGCCCAAATTTTTACAATGAGCCTTTACTTATAGTCTGGGAGGTGTGTGTGTGTGTGTGGGGCGGGGGGGGGGGTGGAGGCTATTTCCATTTTAGGGAGAATAATTTTGCATAACTATTCAAAACAAGTAACACTCTCAGCATTAAATATATGAATACTTTAGGTTTTAAATCCTCTTAACACACAAATTTTAGAAACTGAGGAGAGTTTTTGCAATATGAGGAAAGTTCATATTGGTGATAACAAGAAATGAGCTCATGAGCATCTGGTGAGTAAGCAGGCGAAGAAGACATAGGGTGTGAAAACAAACTCAGTTCTTGGTTTCATGCCACAGACAAAAACAAAATAAATCAAAGTAATTCTCTATTGCTTTCTAGAACTCTCATTTATAAGGAACTGAAATACTTAGATTTAACTGGAAATTCTTAAATTTAAAGAGCTACCTTCATAGATAATCTCAGGTTTTAATTCTTGCTACAAATTCAGATCAATATATTTGGCCCTGATTTTGATATATTAAATAGAATACTCCAGATAAACTCAAAGGAGATTATGAAGTTTTTACTCCTGTGTAAACCCATTAAAAGTCTTTTTCTTATTTGATTCTGAGAACCACACCTTCAAATCTGGGTTATTCAGGTCCTCAGTGTCAGGTAAGGGCACCGGGACTTAGTACACTGGGTAATATTCTAACAGAACCTTTAGGGTTAACGAGCCCGGACATGAGGTCACCGTTGGGATGCCAGCACCTCTACCCATGAACAGAAAGGTACAGAGAGCATCAGTACAAAGGCTAACTAGCAGCATCTCTATGAAAATAGCAATCTCAGTGCTTTAGGATGTCAGAAGGTATGATCTGATTCTAAACCTGTACTTTCATAGCAGAAGTCATGATAAAGACGCCCTTTCAAATCAGGTTTCTTCCTGTGAAGCCCGTTTCCATCCCCAAACTCTGAAACCCTGCGCCTCCTTCCTAGGAACCCTCTTCAGCTAGATCTCTTCACCGTTATAAAAACAGTTAGACTTACTAACTTCATAGTTAAGCTGTGAAACCATTTGCTGCACATGGAGTCTGACCAGTAAAATCGAGCCCCCTTCTAATTTGAAAGTAGGCGACATTTTTTCCTACAGCACAGGACTGGCCATTGGCCACTGAGTCCCTATCAGATTCTGTAACACCGGATTTCAGACCCTTCTGAAATTTAGGTCCTAAAATATAGTTATCATTTTCCTTAAACATATAAGAAAGCAACATCTGAATGCAATACCCAGGCTCACATTGGGCCGGCAGCATGGAAGCAGCCATGTGTCGGAATCAAAACAGCATCCCACTGAGCAGAGGGCTGGCGAAGCCATGGCATGTCAGTGAGGAGCCTCACATACCCTCTGTGCGTTCACAAACAGCTTGTGAATGATCCTGCCGGCGTGTCCTCTTCCCGCGCCCACCACCAGCACTTCGGGCTGCTCTAAAAGGCAGCTCACAAACCTGGGGAGAAAGAATAGAGCTGCTCACTTCCCATCCGTCCTCCAGATTAATTTTGTGGGCAAACCCTCACGCTGATAAAGCCCAACTACCATGGCTGGAGTGGAACTTTGTAACAGGATATATTGATATTTGAATTAAAATCGACTCAAATGACAATTCTTACTACCTTTGAAGTGTTTTCATAAAATCTGTGAACAGCCCATCTCTGTCAAAGTGTAAGAAGAAATATTCAGTAAAAGTTGATAACAAAAACCAAGTTTCATTTATAGAACAAAGCCATGATTCATGTTTCTTGTTTTTATTCTTATAAAATATTAATATTTTTAATCCTCACTCAAGGATATGTTTGTTTTTTAATTGATTTGAGAGAGTGAGAGGAAGGGGAAGAGGGAAAGAAACATGGAGCAGTTGCCTCCTGTCCATGCCCCAACAGAGGATTGAACCCACAACCTAGGTATGTGCCCTGACCAGTAATCAAACCACAACCTTTTGGTGCACAGGGTGATGCTCCAATTAACCAAGCCACCCGGCCAGGGCTACTTTTGCTCTTGTGAGGTGTGTAAGTGCATGTGTGCATGCATGTACAAAATGCATGTTTTGCTGGGCAGTGTCATGACTATAAACAGTGCCATTTTGTGCTGCAAATACTGTACTATACTGCCAAGTCCATCTCAGATCTCTAGAGTAGAGCTAAGAGAGTCGAAGGCAGAACCGCCAGGCATGCACTGCCTGCTCACTGACTGGTACTGCTATTTTAGAAACGACTCACTTGATTAGAGCTCATTCTTCTCATTTAAAAGAAAGGCATTTTCCATTATGCTAAATTAATATTTGACAAAGGAGGCAAGAGCATACAATGGAGTCAGGACAGTCTCTTCAATAAATGATGTTGGGAAAACTGGACAGATGCATGCCAAAAAATGAAACTAGATCACCAACTTACACAAGAATAAACTCAAAATGGATAAAAGACTTAAATGTAAGTCGAAGAAACCCTAGGCAGCAAAATCTCAGACATCTCTCGTAGTAATATGTTTATGGCTGTATCTCCTGAGCAAAGGAAACTAAGGAAGAAATAAACAAATGAGACTACATCTAATAAAAAGCTTCTGCACAGCAAAAGAAACCATCAACAAAATGAAAAGGGAGCCTATTGTATCGGAGAACATATTTGGCAAAGATACATCTGACAAAGGGTTAATATCCAAAATATATAAGGAACTCATATGACTTAACAAAATGAAGACAAACAATCCAATCAAAAAATGGGCAAAGGACCTAAACAGACACCTCTTCAAAGTGGACATACAGATGGTCAAGAGGCATATGAAAAAATGCTCAAACTCACTGATCATCAGAGAGATGCAAATTAAAGTAACAATGAGGTATCACCTCACACCTGTCAGAATGGCTACTATCAACAAATTAACAAATGACAAGCTGGTGAGGATGTGGAGAAAAGGAAACCCTACCACACTGCTGGTGGGATTACAGACTGGTGCAGTCATTATGGAAAACAGTATGGAGTTTCCTAAAAAAATTAAATATGGAACTACCATTTGACCTAGTGATCCCACTTCTAGGAATCTATCCTAAGAGACCCAAAACACCAATCAGAAAAAACATGCACCATGTTCATAGCAGTGCAATTATACAATAGCTAAGACTGAAAACAGTACAAGTGCCCATCAGAAGATGAGTGGATAAAAAAACTGTGGTACATTTACACTGTGGAATACTATGCAGCAGTAAAAAAAAAAAAAGAAAAAAAAAGAAAAGGATCTTTTACCCTTTAAGACAGCATGGAGGGACCTGGAGAGTATTATGTTAAGTGAAATAAGCAGTCAGAGGAAGACAAGTATCACATAATCTCACTCATATGTGGAATCTAATTAACAGAGTGGATCCAGAAAAGGAAAAAAAAGGCATTTTCAAGAACAAAGAAAGCTGGGAGAAAATTTCACTCAACAAAAGATATAAAATTCAAACAAAATCTTGTGAGAAGCTAAAGCAAATGCCTTGTCATAGACTATTAATTTTCTAGCATCAATAATGCCATTCCTTGTGAAAAGGCTACTGACGATGTTAACATTATAACAAATTCAAGCTACTGAAGTAGCTAATTTGGAAACACTTTATCACACATTAAAGCAACATGTCCTTTCAATGGGCACAAACAGACAGGGGCGCACACTGAAGGCTCCCTTGATAACGATGCTGCCAGGAGAAGACCGGCCCAGTCATTTGTCTCATCCTGGAGAGGCTACCAGTCACTCTCCAAACATATCTGCAAGGTGGACAGTAACTGCACCTTTGCTCTCACAGGTATTTTTAAAAAATTAAATGAATATTGAGCAGGATTATAGTTGCAGAACCCCTCAGACTGTGGTTAAGTAACAGTAAGAGCTGAGAGCAAAGCTCTGGGCACTGATTGTGACAGCGTCAATAATGGCTTCTCCTCAGGTGCAGGCACCACGCCTCCGGGAGCAAACAAGGACTTTGCTGGGAAGAGAGACCTGGTAGACTTGGTTCTGCAAGTGGGAGCAATGGAAACACCTAGAAAGTACTCAGAAATACGGTAGAGGTCAAATCCTATGATAATTATTTCTCTGAATCTGGCTAATGCTGGCAAATAATAGGAGAGTATCACAAAGAATCTCAATATTTCATTAAAATTTTCTAAAGCAGTGGTGTATTTTCCTACTGCAGACAAAAATGAGCGTGTCAAATACCAATTACCTTTCGAGATCTTCCTTTTCCTCCTCTTGTTCACATTTCTCAGTTCCAAACTTGGCTTTCAGTGAGCGGGCTCTAGCAATTAGGGCTTCCACATTAGTAATTTGATGGATGATTTCCTAACAGTAGAAAAGAGAAAGTCGTAACACTGGAAAACAGCAAAGAAAGGCAAAGCCATTTAAAATGTTTCTTGAAAGTAATTACTGCCCACTGGGAAGAGACAGTACTTGTCGAGATGCTGACAGTCACCCAACTTACTTCTAGTTTCTTGTCTTCCGGGTTGGGAAAGTGCAGGACTTTGCTGGAATGGGATATTATCTGCTTGATAATCTTCTTAACGGAAGAAATGTTTTCCAGACTTTCTATGAGAAAGATCAAAACCATCATTAAATAAGTTAGACAAAATACACTTTCATTTTAGAAATGAACTAATTACTATTCAAGTAAGACATTTACCTTCTTCCTTTACCTTGAGGACGGCTGCATGAATTACACAAGGTAGCAGGTGCCGAGCGAGGTCTGCAGGTTTCTGCATTGCCAGATAGTGCAGCACCTGGAGGAGGCACAGACTCAGATCAATGATCAATGCAGCTGCCTACGAATAAAGCAGCCATTTATGAAACAAAAAATCCTCTGGACCAGTGATTTTCAACTTTTTTCATCTCATGGCACACATAAACTCATTACTAGAATTCTGCAGCACACCAAAAAATATATTTTTTGACAATCTGACAAAAAAAAAATAGGTATAATTTTGATTCATTCAGACCAGACGGCTATTGTGTTAGCTGCTTGACAATCTAAGAGAAAAGAGATCAGTGTCCCTGACCAAATGGTCAGGTGTTGCACGCTTTAAAAATTATTGCGGCACACCGGCTGCTTTGGACCACTGAACTCACATCTATAACAAAAGTAGAGAAGAGCTTTTTCTCTTAGTATCTACCCCTACATTCCAGGTAAATAGCTACTACTTCCAAAGATAAGAATAATGTTACTGAAGACAACTGCATACTTCTGTCTTCAATAAGGGTTAATATTCTCATAACCCCATCCCCACTTCCATATGTAATGCATACAAATTAATAAAAACTACCTGTAAATCATACCACCTAGGGATAGAATTTTTAATGGTGGAACATTTTCATTCCAGAATTTTTCAAAATATCAAGTACACATAACATTAAATGAACTAATATTAAGTGTCTAAAATACTGTTTGTGACCTATTTTTCTCACTTATTATTTCTAAACATTTCTAGTGACCCTCCATTGATTTTTTGGGGTTGGTTTTTTTATTGTCTTTTTTTTCTAAAGTGGAAATTGTTTTACTTTTCTGATTTAAAAAATACAGCGTTCTTATCATGCAGATTGACTCTTCTTTCTATGGGGGTAGAGGGCCCGGGTGACATTACCTCACTGGTGCTTGGCCAGAATTCCATACTGGCTGATTAAGATTATGTCTTTGGGAGAGGTTAAAACTGCAACAGATGGCTTTTATGTAGCACAAGTGATGCCATTTTCTTCCTTTTTTAAAATTTTCTTGGATTGCAGTTTTAAACATTAGTTTGGATTGCAGTTTTAAACATTAGTTCTGTTTTAGTGTTTTGATTTTGAATACTCACCGGAGGACATGTTTTTATAGGGGAAAGGAGAGAGAGAGAGAGGGGAAAGGAGAGAGAGAGAGAGAGAGAGAGAGAGGAAGGGAGAGAAGAAGAGAGGGAGGGAGAGAAGAGGCAGAGGGAGAGACATTGATTGGTATGTGCTGGACCAGAAATCAAATCCACAACCTTTTGGTGTGCGGGATGATGTTCCAACCAACTGAGCCACCTAACAGGGCTAGTGTTTTGATTTTTCTTCAAGGACTCTGATAAAATGAGTATTATTCCTACTTTTCCTATTTTCCATTTCTACTACTTTCTCTCCAACCCACTTTAGTCCTTTTGCCACTTTTTCTTGACGCCTTTTATTATATTTCAATATGAATCTACTCTCTCTTGGGCCCCTTGTCATTTAGTCTTTATTTTTGATATGGTATCTTTTTCTTCTATTTCTATATTGAGTTAAACCAGCTGTGGTTTCACTACTTTGCAGAGTTTTGGGGTCCATTTTTTCTCTTGGTTTTAGTATTTCTGATTAAAAGTGATTTTTCATATCCCCCATGCTTGTTTAAAGATATCTGATTCAGTATGTATGGTGTGTTGTTAACAATTTTCTGCTTCATGGTCAATTTTCTGGGAAATGTTTTCATTAGCTAACTGACCCACCTGCATTTTGTTTTTTTATACTTTTGTATGGATGTGGTCTGCTCTTTAGTATACCTACTCATACCACAATTTGAAAGTGCCCCTTTTCTGCAGTTTCTTTAAAGGCCAGCAGAAGATGAGGGAGGTTGATGTTATTTTTTTGGTTTTTTTCTTTTATTATTTTATTGATTTGGGAGAGGAAGGATGAGGGAGAGAGGGATAGAAACATCAATGATGAAAGAGAATCACGCCCCTTACAGGGCATTGAGCCCGCAACCCAGGCATGTGCCCTAACCGGGAATCAAACTGTGACCTCCTAGTTCACAGATCGACACTCTACCAAGCCACACTGGCCAGGCAGTTGATAAGCCTTGTTTGTCTTTCACTTCTGCATGATCCTTAGTTTCCCTCTCATTTCCTTCTTTCCCATCATTTCTTTATCTCTAAGGGGTATCAACCCTTCTCTATATATCTGGTTTCCCAAGACAGTATCTCTGAGTGTTCACTTCTCGTCCAGCTTACTTTAAGCCTCTCCCTGTAGCCATGCTGTGAACTATCAAGCTCTACCTGTACCAAGTACTTTGGCGCCCAGTGTTAAGCTCTCTCTTTCTGGGGTGACTCTGTGCTCCGTCTGTATCCCTCAGCTCTTCTTAAAAGTCCCTGTCCACACTCTCCTGCAGCAATAGGAACTCCATTGGAATTTGGCTTGTTTCTCTACTTATAGTTTTAATTTGAAGGTCACTGTAATCTCTGTCTCCTAGTAATGCTTAAGGCATGGATTTATTTATTACTTATTAAGTGCATGGGATTATTTGGGAGGCCAGTGGATGGTGGGTAGGAGGGTATGTGGGGCAATTTGATATCAGGCAGCTACCACTATTCATTAGAATTCCAAATATTTTTTAGTAATTGAAGAGCAGTTCACTAAATGATCATACCATAATTTATCGAACCAAGCTTATTTTTGGTAACTTTGGTTATATGCACTTTTCACTAAAAAACTTTGCTGAACATCATTCTTGTACATTGACCTTTACATATTTCTCATTATTTCCTTAATAAATTTCTTGGTGGTAGAATTGCTAGGTCAAAGGACATGACCATTTTTTTAAGGTTTTTGATATATGCTGTGAGATGAGACAGTCCAATGGTAAGCATTCTACATAAAATATGGGTATCTTATTTTGGGGCCTAACTGCAACTAATTCTAAAATCTTAAGTGTAAATAGTAGACACATAAAAGGCTCATTAAATTTCAATGCTTTGCTTCTCATGTCTATGATAGTGAGTTTTTAAAATGCTAGAACAGTAACTACCACTTTAGTGTTAGATACCCAAACCTCAGTTACCTTTTCTGCTTCCCGCGTATCATCAAAGAGTCTCCTTTGCCTTCTGGCAGGAACTGGCTTAGCTGTTTCCCAGGCTTCCACCCACGTGTTGCTTGGAATCTTCATTCGGGCACTCAGTTCTCCTTTCAGAACCGTGTTTCCCTTTTCATCAATCACTTCCTCTTCAATGTAATCCCGGGGCGAGTACCACCTCACAAAGTCTTCCAGACAGCAACCTGGATTAGCTGCCTAAATCAAGGCCAAAAATTCAGCAGAACCAAATATAAGTCAACAGTTACTGAAAACCTGTTTGCAAGATCATACTTTCTCTTTCACAAAAAGCCTACCTAATCTTTATAAAATCTAATATGTAACATGAGTTTGGGTGTCACCTCGAAAACAGATCAAATGTTAAAATACCAAAAGCATTTTACTTTTGCTGTCTCTATTTATAGAAAAAGAAAATACTTCCATTTGATGAATTTGGAAATAAAAACTTTATGTAAAGTGAAAATAATTCTCTTAAACAGATAAGTTACATAGTTTAAAATTATAGCATAACTACTCAAAACTTAGAAGAGTATCAAATAAGTGCAGGTCATGTAAATTAAATAATACACAACATGAAAGAATAACAACCTAATAATGGAAAATTCTGCTCTTTTTTCCCCTCAATAAATCAATACCGCAGTAAATATCAGCTAACCTCAAAAATGTTCTATTCAGCCATCAAATTCTTGTGCTTTATGTACAACATTACTCTCACATAAACTGCTTTTGTGCTGTTAAGGAATTGAAATTCAAACTATTATTGTTCAGGTTTCTCAAATCTAACTAATTAAATTTTTACTCAGTGGATAATTCTATAGAATTTACAAGGTTGTATTTCAAAATCCTTTAAGTAATTCCACATTCAAGCCTGGAATAAAAGTAGAGGCTTCCCAGTGTTAGTGCTAAGGCACAGAGTTCTCTTTTGCAAGTGTACAGTAATATATTAGCAGAGTACTAAGGGTAGGTATATGTATTATCCCCTAATACTCAAAGGATACGTGTACACACATTAAACACGTACCTTTTGGTTATATTGTCTACCACAACATAATCTTCCTGTATGAGTACTATATTTAATTGCCTGAAATAGTAAGTCATGTAAACATCAACAAAGAAGTGCTAAGCGGAAGGTCATTTTCTTTCTTTTTGAATTAAATTAACCTCAGACCAAAATGCAAACAGACTTGAAGAGAATGGCTAGTCTTAAATGTGAAGAGCAAAACTGTTAATTCTTGCTTCTTGAGCTCACTGGCTACCAGCTTAACCATCCCTACCACTTTAGGAAATCCCTCTGAGGGGATAAGGAATCAGAGGAGGGTCCTTAACCCAGTCGACAACATAAACTTCTGAGGCAGGGGTGGGGAACCTTTTTTCTGCCAAGGGCCATTTGGATATTTATAACATCATTTGAGGGCCACATAAAATTATCAACTTAAAAATGAGCCTGCTATATTTGGTCAAACATTTCATTAACTCACCCCTAATGCCTTGGCAGGGCCTCGTAGCACTGACTCCATCACAGTCATCACAGCCATATCTTCTAGGCCACTGAGCAGGAGGCCGGAGGGCTCCTTGACCCCAAAGCACAGGGGCCTGTGTGTCTCTGGCAGTAGCCAGGCCCACATGTGCCCATTTCCCCATCAAGAAAAAGAAGGGGCCAGGGGTACAGAGCCGTACGTGATCTGAAAGCAGCTCTTACCCTATTTGGAGAGCAGCTCTGTGCGTGTGTGCGTGCGTTGAATGCACGTGCCCGTGTGTGCATGGGTGTGCATAGGTATGGGTGTGATGCGGAGAATGGACAAGAGGACCTGGGGTCATGAGTCAGGTGAAGAGTGTCACAGGTGGCCTGGCGGGCAGGGCAGGCTGTTGTTCTGAGCGCAGGGTCAGGGCATTGGTTCTTGTCCTGTCCTGATCCAATGGCATAGGTTGCAGCCACCGAGAGCCATGCTGCCCCCTGGGTCCTAGGCCCGGAGTCCTGCCTGCAGGGCTGGGACATGGAGCCTCCGGGCAGGTTCGGACTTGGTGCTTGGCCTGTTCCTGGCCCAGGCCCAGCGGAGGCTGCCCTCGGGGCAGAGCGGGTGGACAAAGAGAGGACAGGTCCTGGGGACGGACCCTGACACTGCCCATCTGCATGCCTGCTCCTGGCACAGGAGGCGAAGCTGAAGGCCGGGGGCCCTGACAGGCTGCACTCACTGAGGAGTGACTCACGTGAAGGCGTGTAGGCCTTCTGCAGGAGAGCTGGGCTCCTGTGGCCCGCGGAGGCTGCGGATCCTGAGGAAGGGGTGCAGTCCCAGGTGTGTCTTCAGAGCATGACTGCACCCTGCAGGCAGCTGGTGTTCAAGACTGAGACGCCTACAGGGGACAAAAGAAAGCGCCGTCCTGGACGCTGAGCACCCAGCCTGCATCCAGAAAGCCAGCCAGACTGCGTGCCTCGGAGGGGCAGGCAGCTGGTGGCTGGTGAGTTTTCAGGGGTCCCCTCCCCACGCTCAGTCAGCACCCCCAGACTCACCTTGCGAAAGGGAAGAAGGGAGGGCCGTCCTCCCGGCTTCCGGCCTTCCAGTTTCCGGCCTTCCAGTCTCAAGCTGTCTTGCCCAGCCGGGCAGACAGAGGGGTTTACACGTGGGTCCCCCCTTTTCTGGCCAGTCTGGCCTTTCTTCCCTTGTGCCACAGGTGGGAAGCGGGAGTAGCCCTGGGTCCCCGGGGCTCTGCAAGGGGGCAGGAAGGAGAGTGGAGGGCCCTCCACACAGCCCTCATCTCCCTACAGCTCCCCCCACCCCACCCCAGAGCTTCCTTCTGCCCCTCACCCCTGCTCCCCCCTCCCCCCTCCCCCCTCCCCTCGCTACCCCTCCCCCCTCCTCTCTCGCTCCCCCTCCCCCCTCGCTCCCCCTCCCCCCTCCCCCCTCCCCCCCCTCCCCGCTGCGGGACAGGCCCTGACCAGCTGTGTGGAGGGCCGGCCACACTGAGGACCACAGTGAATGGTCACTTTGCCCAGAGGGGTCCCAGCCCCTCCCTCCTCCAGGCCCCAGTGCCTCACAGCAGGGCTCCTCCTCACCCCCACGGCCACGCCCCCCAGCCCTGGCTCTGCCAGAGGGACCCCTAGTCACTGTCTCCCAGGGAGGCTGGTTTGGGGAGTGCGTTTTCTATCAGGCACGGGGCACTCGCTCCTTCTGAATGAGGGACTGTGCATGGCCACATGGGGGGGAAGCAGCTGGCAGGGAAAGGTGCCCAGAGTCCGCCTAGCCCAGCCCAGCCACCCCCTCTAATGGCGGCTCTGAGAGCCTGGAGGGCCCACGAGTGGACACACAGTAGCTTGTTGCATTTTCTTTGGCCTGTGGCCCATCCTCCACCAGTTGACACGGGCTCACAGGCGACATGGCTAAGAGCTCACTGTGGAGCCAGGGCTCCCTGGACAGCCGGGGCCCCCAGGATTACCTGTGGCTGCTGCCCACCGCATTCGCATTCTGCTCCCTGCGGGCAGAAGGGGCCTGTCGCCTGGAAGGGACCCAGCTCTCAAAGGTCTGGGTGCCCAATGGCAGGGACTCCTGGCCCCTGGCACAGTTGTTAGGGTAGCCCAAAGGACGGGCTATGGAGGGAAGTGGGGACTGGGCAGGAGGGGAGGGGTTGGGGAGCCATCTGTCCCGGTGGCTGGAGGCCATAGAAGGACCAGAAGGGGGGTGTGGGGCAAAGGAAGAGAGGGAGGCCAGGCGGACAGGGTGGATGGAAAGGGGAGACGGGGGGTTGGCAGGGCAGGGGGAGCAGGGGACCCTAGGGCCCCTCTGCGGCTTGCCAGCCTTGCGGGCTCCCGAGAGAGGAGGGAACCTGTTGGTGAGAGATGGGAACCTGGTTGGGCCAGGTGGGGGAGCAGGAGGAGGGCCAGGCCATTGGCAGGGGTGGAGGGGAACAGGAGAGGAGGAAGAGGCAGGGGAAATGGGGATGGGAGAGGGGGGTCTCGAGACCCCAGGAGAACAGAAGGACTGCTGCTTCTTCATCGTCACCGATGCTCAGAGTGAGAGTCTGCCCCGAAGGTGGGGTTCTTGAATCTGAGGTCCCCGCCCTTTCCTCTGTGACAGACTCTGTGGCCTCCTAAGAGAGAATTCTAGAACCGCCTGGCTGCCCTGCTGCAGCAGGGCACAGTGATGTGTAGACATAAGCAAACTGAGGCAGTGCCTGGGCCAGAGCCTGGCAAGTCCTCTCCGTCACCTGGGTCAGCCAGGGTCAGGCCCCTGGACTGTGGGTCTGGGCAGAGGCTCCCTGCACCCCCGCCTCCCCCTGCCCCGCCGCCCCCCCACTCCCACCCCATGGCTGCCTGAAAGGCACAGCCCTCCTCCCAGCAGCCACTCTGGGAAGGGTCAGGGCTCAGCCATTCCTGTGTGGGTGCCTGGGAGATGTCTGGGCTCAGGGACCTTCTAGGACAGCGGTTCTCAACCTGTGGGTCGCGAGCCCTTTGGCGGTCGAACGACTCTTTCACAGGGGTCGCCTAAGACCATCCTGCATATCAGATATTTACATTACAATTCATAACAGTAGCAACATGACAGTTATGAAGTAGCAACGAAAATCATTTTATGGTTGGGTCACAACATGAGGATCTGTATTTAAAGGGCCAGAAGGTTGAGAACCACCGTTCTAGAACGAGCGGCACAGCCATGTTTGTCTCGGGAATCCTGGGCCTAGGGGTTAGGGCCAGAGGCAGCACTGCTGGTCAGGAAGCGAGAGCCTGGAGGGCTGGGCTCCCCAGGGCTGTGCTGGGCCAGCGGGCGGCACAGGCCTCGAGGCTGCGCCTGGCCCCGGAGAAGGGCAGTGTTATCGGCCAGGGAGGAAGGCCCTGTCAGCCCCTGCCACTCCCGCAGCCACAGCCTCGCGCCCATCGCAGGACGGCCTCGAGGAGACTGGGGACGCCTGTCAGGGAACGGGGCAAACCCATACCCTCCAGCACAGGCCTGAATGGCTTTCCCAGAATTCCAGGCGCTTGACAGGCTGGGGTTCTGGAGTCTTAGTGGACTAGCCTCGCAATCCAGTGGCCCCTGGTCCTCTGCTCTAGATGCTGCGTTGCCCCCAAGCAAGTGCCCCAGAAAGCCTGAACCCCATCAGGCCACCAAGGGCTCCTGTCCGGTTCCCGCTCCCTCATGTCAGTTTCTTCTCGCTGAGCGCCACGCCCTGCGTTTGCTCCTCTGCTCCAGCCGCTCCCAGGGCCACCAGCCATGATCCCACTGCTCCTCCCTGTCGTCCGCCCCTCACCTGCCCTCATTATAATGTTGCCCTGGTGAAAACCCAAGATCCTGGCAGGTCACCGAGGAGCCCTGCAGCTGCCTCTGACATCCCTGCAGTGAGCGAGCCCTGACAGGAGGCGGGCATCAGGAATCAGGGGGGCGGCCGAGCTGCTCCCCCTGCCCAGGTGGAGGAGGGGCGTGTGCTGAGCCGCCCAGAGATCCCAGGGGCCCAGCCTGGTGGGGGGCTCCGGGCTAGCCCTGCACACCCGATGGAGGTGGGAAACCCTGAGGCGCCTCATCCAGGCAGTCCTGGGGGGATGGAGGGCAGGTTCTACATCAGGGGCCATGGAATGGTGCCTGGGTGGGAAGACATAAAGCCTCCTTGTCCGCCTGCAGGTGAGCATCAAGCAGACAGGACTGCTGATGGGCTAGCACAGCCTGCGGAGCTGACGACCCAGGTCACGTCAGGCCAGGGCTTCCCATGGATGTCATTCGGAATGGACCAAAGAAGCCCAGGAGGCCCTGCCGGCGTGGCTCAGTGGCTGAGCATGGGTCTAGGAACCAGGAGGTCACGGTTCGATTCCCGGTCAGGGCATGTGCCTGGGTTGAGGGCATGATCCCCAGTGTGGTGCGGGCAGGAGGCAGCTGATCAATGATTCTCTCTCATCATTGATGTTTCTATCTCTCTCCCTCTCCCTTCCTCTCTGAAATCAATAAAAAAATATTTTTTAAAAAAGAAACCTGTGAGGCCTGGGCCTGCCCCCACTCCCTACATAGCTCCACCTGCTACAATTACGAGATCTGAGGAAAGAGGACAAGAATCCTGAATTAATCAAGACGAAGGGGCCTCAGAATGGAAATGAAGCCCTGGAGAACATGAAGAAGCCATGGCCCTGCCACACCTGAGCTCAATAACCGAGATGTGCACGGGCCTGGGCGGTGTGGGCGAACCCAGCCGTGTGGAGGGGGAGGGGAGGACCTGCAGGGGGGTCGGAGGGGACCTGGGTTCCGGTGACCACGGCCGGATGCTCCGGCAGGAAAGGGAAAGGCCGCCGCGGAGGGGACTGCGACACGGCTCAGGAGAGTCCTCAGAGAGAAGCGTGCAGTCGTGCGTGTGGGCGCCCGAGCGCCTCCACACCAAACTCATGCGGGGAGTTTGCTGCATCTGAGCTTCAGACAACCTCCCGGGGCAGAAGGCATAGAACTGGATGCTCCGTCAGAAACTCACAGGGGCTTATGCATCACGGCGCCTCAGCGTAGGCCACCCTCCCAGAGGTGACAGAGAAGGCCCCCAGCCGTGCCCACGCAAGGACTCCTCCCCGATGCCCTCACCCCCAGAG